AAAAAAAAAATCACAAAAGAAGAAAATTATAAATTATTATTTAAAAATTAGTTTTGTTTGTACACAAATTCTTCATCTTCATCATAACCAAAAGATAATTGAGGTAAAATTTTCATTAATGTTGGTTTATCTATTCCACAAATACTAAGAATATCATCAAATTGAATAACATCTTTACATTCAGCAATTAATTCATTAGTCAAATATTCTCGTACTTTTCTAGCAATATCAGTTGTTATATTTCCTTCCCAATTTTCATCAAAATGAGCATAGAAAATAAGTTGAACAGCAACTTGAGCATCTATTTCATCAATTGTATCACTTCCACGAATTCTAGCATGTGCCTCAGCAAGTCTAATCAAAGAATCAAGAGCACGAGCTGTAATAGGAAGAGTTTTAATTTTAAAATTGTGTTTAATTCTTTTTAGTCTTTCATTTTCTCTTAATTTAACATAAGCATCTGCTATAGTTTCACTAGCAGATTCACTTAAAGAAGGTGTTGGGAGATTTCTAGCATAAGTAACATATTTTTTAATGAATTTATTAGTAAATAATTTTTCTCCTTCATACAAAGATGTATCTTGATAAACAGGTGCATCTCCAATTTTTTCTCTTTCAGCATCTACTAATGCTAATACATTAACTTCATCATCTCCACGTTGTTCAGTTAGTGCATCAAAATGTCTATGCATTTTTAAAACATGTTGTGATAATCTTCTGTCAAGTTCTTCAGTAGAAGAGTCTAAAATAATAAAAATAAGATCAAACCGAGATAATAATGATTCAGGAAAATAAAGATTTTCCATAGGTGATTTTTTGACGTCATAATTTCCATTTGATGGATTTGCTGCTGCAAGAATTGAACATCTTGCATTTAATGCTGTATGGATACCAGCTTTTTGAACTGTTACAGTTTGTTGTTCCATTACTTCATGCATTGCTGCTCGATCTTCAATAGACATTTTATCAAATTCATCAACACAAACAATTCCTCTATCAGCTAGTACCATTGCTCCTGCTTCTAATGTACGTTGATTAGTATCTGGATCATTAACAACAGCAGCAGTTAATCCAACTCCAGTTGCACCTCTTCCATTAGTAGAAACAGCTAATGGTGCAATACTCATAACATATCTAAGTAATTGTGATTTAGCAGTAGATGGATCACCACATAACATTACATGGATATCACCTCTAACTCTTGACCTTAAACGAATTTTAGGTGTTGCACCAACTAACATTAAAAGAATTGCTTTTTTAACATCTGAATGTCCATAAATACTAGGTGCTATTGATTTTGACAAAAGATTAATTGGATTTTCTTCTTTCATAACTTTTTTAATATTTTCTTTATCAATCTCAGTTAATTCAGGTCCTTCTGATTGTAATGTATTAATATTTTCAGCTTCTAAAACAACTTTAAATGTAGATGAATGATTAGGTCCAGCTAATGCTTTTAATGTTCCATTAATGATTACTCTATCTCCTGGTTTACCTTTATCTACTAATTGATCTAATAAAATTACAATAACAGACCTTGGCATTTGACCTGTTGGTGCACTCTCAGGCATTTCTTGTACAACTAATGTTTGAAAATCCTTATAAGTAGATAATCCTGGTTCAAGTTCTAAAGGTTTTCCATCAGGAGTTTTTGATGATAATTTAACCATTACATCAGCATGAGATAAATCTCTTGCATGAGTAGAATAATCTAATGGACAAAATTGAACAGCAGTTTGAAGTAAAGGACGAATTTGAGATGATTTTGTAATAATTCCTTGAACAGCAACTTTTTGTTGAAGAATGGAAGCTGTGATATTTCTTGGTGTGATATGATGAATATGACCTTCCATTTTATTTCTTTTTAAGTTTTCTTTAAAATAAAAAAATCAATGTCTGGCTTTTATTATTTAAAAGAGAAAAGAAGTAATGTATAATAATTTCTTCAAGACTTTAATTTACTAAATTTAACAAATTAAATACCTACTTTCATTCCTCTTTGTTTAATGATAGACCCATCAGCTTGTTTCAGGAATGGATGTTCAAGTAATTGTGTTGCTGACCATCTTTCTTCTGGATTAAAGAAAAAGCATTTCTTAAGAAAATCAACAAATTCAGGAGGTGCTTTAGATGGATTTCTTAATCCAGGTGCACCAACTGTAGCTGTTTTAAAAAGACCTTTAAACATTCCTAATTCTCTATAAGGTGGTGATCCTTCAAATAATTCTTGTGCTACACATCCAATACTCCAAATATCAACTTTTTCATTATATGGAATTTGTTTAATAACTTCTGGTGCCATATATGCTTTAGATCCAGCTCTATTTGATGGTTTAGAATTAATTCTTACAACTAATCCAAAGTCAATCACTTTAATTTCAAAATTTTGTTTTAACATAATATTAGCTGTTTTAATATCTCTATGAATAAATCCTTCTTCATGAATATATTTCAATGCCTTTAATGTTTCTAGTAATAAAAATGCAGTGTCAGCATCTTGAAATGGTCTCATTCTATTTTTCAATAATGTTTTTAATGTTCCAAGAGAACAATATTCCATTCCAATATATACCTGATTATTATATAACCAACATCCTTCAAATCCAACAATATTTGGATGTTTCCAATTACTTAAACGTGCAACTTCTGCTCCAATTTTTGTATATCTTTCATCTACAGAATGTTTTAACATTTTTAAAGCAATTGGTTTACCATCTTCTATTCTTTGTGCACAAAATACTTCACCAAATCCACCTTTTCCAATAGAAACAAGATTTGTAAAATATTTATGTGGGTCTTCTGTTTTACAATATCTTAATAAATCATCTTCTTCTGGTGGAGGTTCTTTTTTTGGTTTTTCAATATGAGCTTGTGGATGTTCAATCTTTTGTTGAAGTTGTCTTTTCTCTGTAACCGTAGCATATCTTTTCTTTGTTTGTGATCGAAGAATTTCACATAATGTATCAAAATGTTTTTCACATTCTTCTGGATATAAATTATTTTTATTACATAATTCACGACAAGTAGGTGTTAAATCTGCTAATTTTCCACTAAAAAAATCTTTTACTATCATTGTTTGTGGTTTATGATAATATTGTTGACATTTTTTACAAAGTGTTTCAACTTCATTACATTCTTCTTCTGTTTCAAATCTTAAATAAACCCTTCTGATAACACATTGGAAAATTAAAATAAGTCGTTGATGTTTAGTAATTTCAACATTATCACTAAATGGTAATATAGTTAATGGAATTTCTCCATTTACTGCATATAATGCAATTAATCCATTATAAATATTTAATGACCTTCTTGCCCAAAATGTTTTACCATGTTTTTTACATGAAACCATTTTTACTAAATGACAATACTATATCATAAATTTTAATTTCTTTTGTATTAAAAAAACAAAAAAATTATTATAATTTTTTTGTTTTTAATAAATCTTTTATATTCTTGTAATCAAAATAAGGAATTATTAATGAACAAAAAAAAAA